ATAGGGGGAAAATCCCCCCAACCTTTCTTTTCCCACCGATGTGGGACAAAAGGTTTTGCCAAATTCAACAAATCTCCACCTTGGCAAAATTCCACATCTTCAATTTTCTCTCAATAACAAATTTTGATTGTGTCTTCATCTTCAATCTTCACTTTTCAACAATGTTGATCAAATTCAAACAATGTTGAAACTTGACCGCAGTTACCACCTTTGTCAGCATATCAGCAGGATTCTTTGTAGTATGAATTTTCTTCACCGTGACTCCACNTGGGAAAATTCCCCCAACCCTTCTTTTCCCACCGATGTGGGACAAAAGGTTTTGCCAAATTCAACACTATTAATATAGGTTCATTTGAATATCTGTTTAAAATAATAAATCATGAACCTATAATTCAAATAAAATAATGTGTTCGGCGACTTGAAGTTAGTCCAGAACCCATAAAATAAATTTTTAAATCCACTCTAATGAGAAGGATGCATTGCACATAAGATTTCTTTCTTGGCCCTTCCCTCAACTGACTTTTACATTACAGTTTAAGAAATCCGTAAGATAACTTGAAGAAAATGGACGACGGTTTTCTTTTTCAGGTCGATAGCTCTTTTTCTTCAAGCGAGTGAGCGAAGAAGTAAAAAAAAAAAGTGAGAAAAAGAGATGTTTATCTTTTAGACGTTTGAGCTGTCATTAAAAAAGTGATTATGATTGGGAAACCAACACTTTTGGTAGCAGCCCGCACTAACCCTAAAATCAATTAGTAAAACATAATTGAGTAGTAAACTAAATAGCACAGATACTTTTAACTTGTATTGCAAATCCAATCACTATTCAACAACTCTTATTGCTTGACGTATCTCATTATCTTTTTCTTATTTTAGTTCCACTCTCTTGCTTCTCTCACACTAATATACAGAACAGTTCCACTGCCAACCCCATTGGTTCTTTTTGCTTTTCAAATTCCTCTTCTTCCCCTTTTGGCTTCCAAAAAATATCAAGCAGAACAACTTCTTGGTGGTCTTTACTTAGGATCGCTCTGCTTTGTTCGTTTACTTCATCTGTTAAGCTTCTTTCCCCTGTTTTCTGATAGTCTCTTCAGTTTTACGCTTCATTTCTTGTTTGAGTTGTGCTCAATTTGCAACTATTTTTTCTCTCTACTCATTGGGAGGGTCTAGGTGGGTTATGCCTGAGCAGTAAAATCAGATTCTTTTTGCAATTTATTTCAAAGATTCTTTAGCTCTCTTATAAAGGGTATTCCAATTCCCACTATATGATTCTGAATTTAAGGTCTTTCGGGTATCATAAAAATCTCATCTTTTTTTTTTTCCTATTCACACTGCACATCAAATGTCTTCAACACTTAGAGGGTAGGTAACAAATGGAAATAAGCGTATTCTATTTTTAGTCTTAATAAGAAAATTGAGGATTCTGGTTATTGTAATTGTCGCCAAAAAAAAAAAAAATGGAGACTTTGTCGCCTACTTCGCTTATACCAAATTCAAGCTGGATGATGATGGAACAGAGGAAAAGCAGTGAATGGACACAAGAAGAGAACAAGAAGTTTGAAAGTGCACTTGCAATATACGATGAGACAACTCCGAATAGATGGTTTAAGGTGGCGGATTTGATACCTGGGAAGACAGTGTATGATGTGATGAAACAGTACAAAGAATTAGCAGCAGATGTTAGTGACATAGAAGCTGGCTTGTTCCCGGTTCCTCCTACGTATTTCACCTCGTCTTTTATGCTTGATTTGGTCGATGATCATCATCATCGCGGTGTTCAATCGTTTAAAAAGAGAGGCAGATGTTATGATCAAGAAAGAAAAAAAGGTGTCCCATGGACTGAGGAAGAACACAGGTGCACAACTACCTTTTCTTATTTCCAATTTCATGTAGTGTGTCTGATCCTATATGTGAACTCAGAGCCAATTCCTATTCTGATTGGTAAATGAGCTGTTACAGTCGATAAAGCTAACCTGATAGTGTAAAAAAAATTCTTAAATATAAGTTTAAGCTCATTATATTGTTGGTTTAATATGTAGAACTGGTTGATTTTGATGTTAACAAACAATGGTGTTGTAGGAGGTTTCTGATGGGACTTGACAAGCATGGGAAAGGGGACTGGAGGAACATATCAAGGAATTTCGTGATCTCAAAAACGCCAACACAAGTAGCGAGTCATGCTCAAAAATACTATTTGAGACAGCTTTCAGGAGGAAAAGATAAGAGGAGACCTAGCATCCATGACATTACTACTGTCAATCTCACCAACATCGACTTGTCCGACAACAATCTAAACAGCAGCAACAATAATAAATCTCTATCTTCTTTTGCGGTTAACAACCCGTTTCAGAACTCAAATGATGGAGCCTTGATGGCGTTTGGATCGTCTTATAACCGCAGCTCGTACCCCTATGAGCTTGGCTCAGTACTGTCTCGGGGTAGATATGGAACTGACAATATTAGTGCTAGTGACAATTCCCAGATACAGCGATATCAGATATGGGGTTGAATAGTTCAAGAATGTCGATCTTGGATTTTGGTTTTGTGATCTTAATGTGGTGTAAATCTTGAGTAGTTATTACTTGGCAATTAGGCCTACTCTCTCTCTCTGCTGCTTTCAGACTTTACCAATGAAATCGACTAAAGTTTATCAATTTGCCTCCTTTTTCTTGAATTCATACATGATTCATTTCCTGCGTTGTTTACATATTTTACAACCATGGTTTTAGTATGTATCTAATTAAATATGAATTTCACTAAGGGCTATGATAAGATGAATAACATCTCTTCAACTGTTAATCAAATGTTTCATGTTCAAGTCCTAAAAATAAAATAAAATTTTTGGTAGAGAACATTTTTTGCAAATTCCGATTAATCAAGCCCCAAAGCGGATTCCCAACGCTGAATGAGAAACAAACTTATATTTGAACTTATAAATCATTATCTAATATCTTCTAAGATGATAATTTAAATTGAAAGTTCTAAATATATAATAATCTGGTTCATTTCAACTACTAAAGCAGGCCGAGGTTCTTTCAATGCTCGAATCTTTGGGTATTGTATAATGCAAGCGATAAACTAAGTGTAATCTTTCGGTTATTGATTAATTATTCGTCCCTCCTTTTTACTTTTTTTTCCCCAAGTCGTGATCATAGAATATTTGAAGAGCCACAATCCCTAAAATTACAAGTTTACAATAATGTAGGATTCCTTTCATTAAAGGCAAAACGGAGCTAGAGTTCTAGCTAGGAATTCGACAAAATCTTTTGAATATATGTAAATATATAGAACGCTTAGACCCCATAATTCATAAACTCATAATTATGAATCCGCCCCAAGTCCTATTGCCTCGTGCATGTATAAATTAGTGGAAAGTTTGTGGTATTCATTTTCATTTTTGAGAATTTTTCGCACTAAAAGACAGCAAGTAGGCAAGACATGTCACACTAGAAGTTGTGGCTGATTTAGCTGACTCAATCAATGTTGTCAGTTTGCACTATTTGATTGAAATTCCAAAGTATGGAAAGAGTATGCAATTTGGCCAAGTTGACACATTTTGATCCTGCCAGTCTACTTTCTAGAGGTTGCTGCTGAGTCTGCATTCCACTTGTTCCAGTATTATCCCCTTTCTCCCTAGTTCACATGAAGTTATATCCAATCATGTATTACTATTAACAGTATTTTTATTTTAAGAATGCTATGGAAGAAAAATATGCAATTTATGGAGGTTGCAATTTTAGTTGCTTGCCTTAAGAAAATTGACTTGTACACCGTACGTCCCAGTTTATGTGACAGATTTGATATATTAAATTTACAGGAAGAGATAAAGATGGATTTTTAAAACTTGTATCTAAAATATGCTACAAATATTTTTGTGGCTACAATATCATTTTAATAAGGATAAAATGAATAGCCTAAAATTAAATTATTTTTAACTATAAAAAATATTATTTTCTTGGAATAGACTAAAGATTAAAGTGCGTCACATAATAGGACATAGTAAATAACAATCTGTACTTCTATTTATTACTTCTTCAAATTTGTCATAGAAGGGTACCTAATAATAATTATTAAATTAAGAATTTGAATTATCAGTACTAATTAATAATTGAATAATATTTATTACTAATAGATATTTATTGTTGTTACTATTATTTGCTACTTGTTGCTTTATCTCCACTATTTTTTGAGCCGAGGGTCTATCGAAAACATCATCTTTATCTTTAGAAGGTAGGGGTAAAGTCTTTGTACACACTACCCTCCCCAAATTCCATTTATGGGAATACAGTGAGTTTGTTGTTGTTGTTGTTGTTGTTGTTGTTGTTGTTGTTGTTGTTGTTGTTGTTGTTGTTGTTGTTGTTGTTATTAATAGAATTTGAAGAATTTGAAATTCTTAGTATAGAGCTAAGTATCTATATATCTAAATCTAGTTGAGTAGGTATAATAAGTGCAAAAAATATAGAATCGTAGAACTAAATAAATGGACTTATTCATCTCCTACATGAGAAAGATATGTATGATAATAAACTTTAGTAAAATCGTGAAGATATGATTATTCCCTTGAATAGAACTATGTTCTTTTTTTGTAAAAAGAAAGTGTAACAACCCAAAATTACACTAAGTCGTGATGACATCTAACCTGACTCGCTGTAACCCCAATAATATAAGTCACTACTATGACAAGAAACTAGAGATAATGAATGAAAAGCCAAAAGAGTTTAATACAACTATTCCAAGGATCAGTATTACAAGTCGCAAACAATTATGAATAAGAGTACAACTTCAGTTTGAGGAAAGATACATAATCATCTGTTTGAAATTTACATAAATAGAGTTATAACTTCTAATCTACCACGAACAAATGGTAGCTTGTATCGGGAATGCTGGTACGTCTTCAATGTTAAACTCTCGAATTCCGTAGCCGCTCTTCGCTGAATATCTATACGCAATGTACAGAAGTAGTGACAAGGTTTTTAAGTCAAAAGATACTCACTAATATAACATGCACATTTAAATTTGCAATAGAAAAAAGTTATTTAATTAATAATTAAATAATATTTATTATTAATTGAAAAGTTACTGACCAATGCATTTGGGAAGAAATTAGTTTTCAAAAATCGCTTATATAAAGTCTAGGGTTAAAATGGTGTAAATGAGTTAAGTCTCGAAATCCCCACATTTTATCCAACTGCAAATATCGCAATTGCGAACTCTTGTTTGCAATTGCAACATTCGCAAAAGCGAACTACTGGTCGCAATTAGTCTCTAAACCTCCAATATCACAAAAACGATAAACTCATCGCAGATGCGAAGCTGCCCCAATTTCCTCACAATCGCAAACGCGACAGTATCCTCACAATAGCGAAGACCTCCACCTTCTCAATTGCGATAAGAGTTTCACAAAAGCAAAGCTGACCCATCCCCCTCCAGTATCTCAAAAGCAAGCTTGGCATCACAATTGGATGCTCACATTTGCGAACAAGTCCTCACAAATGCGAGAACTGCAGATTGACACCAGCAGAAATTTACCAACTAAGCTAAAATCATCTACAACGCATCCGAAACATATTCGAGCCTTTCGGGCTCCAACCCGAGTATTCACACAGGAGTAAAAACATCATACAAACTCGCTTGCTAACTCAAGTCATTAGAATACCATCAAATATCAAGAATCAATCATTAAAACTCAAGGTTTTCAACTTCAAAACTCATTTTTTCAAACTTTTTACATAATGCGCTGAAACGGTCTTGCGTCACCCGTGAACCAAATAAACATGCATACAAGTCCAAAAATATCATATGAACCTACCGAAATCGTCAAAATACCGATCCCATGTCATTTACCAAAAATATACTCTAGTCGTTTATAAAGCCAAAAATCATATTTTCTTTAAATTTACACATAAGAATTTTCCGAAAAACGACACGGACCATGCACGCAAGTCATAAATCATCAAATAAAGCTACAGGGGTTTCGAAACACAGAAAAGGAAACTAGTGTGAGCACGTAATTTTTGTCCTACGAGAAGTACTCCCAGAAAATTCAAAATAAAATAGTTTTGTGTTGTTTGCAGTTGTTGCGAATTTTGTGTTATTTTTCTTGTATTGTTTGCATTCATTCGTGCATGTTTATTTGTTAAATTAAGAATAAAATACCAAAAAATATGGCATTTGCATTTAGGATTTGAATTTTGCAATTGTTTAGTTAATCCAGAAAATTGGTGTTTTGCCAAAAATGAGAAATCACAAAAATAATGTACTTTGCATTTTTTTTAGCATTTAAGGTCTAGTTGTGTGATTTTATTTTAAATTGGTACTTAATCATGTGTGATAATTATTATTAATAGTATTTAATAAGTTAATTTGGTTTATAATTTAACTTAGAATTTTAGTTTTAATAATTAGAAAAAGAGAAAAAAAAAGAGAAGAAGAAGAAAGAACAAAAATAGGAAGGAAAATCGGATTGGGCTCAAATCCCTGGCCCAATGGCATGTCCCAAACCCGGTCCAGGCAGCCCCTCTCACAAGACGGTGAAACGACGTAGTATAAGAGCCAAACTACGTCGTTTCAATGGCAAAAATCTCAGTCATTCAACCAAACCACATCCAACGGTCACAGGTCAATACCCATATCCAAGAACCGAACCCGACCCGTTTGTCTAGAAACCAACCCGGTCTCAAGAGTGTCCAAATGACACCGTTCCATTAAGTGAATTGATCCAAGCCGTTGATCTTAATCGATCTAACGGCCTGGATCAAACCCTTTCCCAGTATATAATCCTAAGACCGCACCCCGCCCCTCTTAGAACCCCCTCTATTCGTCTCCCTCAAAGGGTCTTCAGAGACCAAACCTCGTTCCGCCACTGACCGCCCGCCGGAAATCGCCCACGGCGGCGGTCAGTCACCAATGGCCACCCAATTAACACCCCTAAGCCATCTGACCACCCTCGTTGCAAATCCAGTACTCGTTTGCTTCGAATCATCCTCAAACTTCTCGAATCTTCATTTGAAGATTCGAGCAAAACCTGGACCTACCCCAAGCTCACACCCTGGCACCCCCTGACCTCCCTCATGCCCAAAACACACTTGGTTGGGTTCGAATCTGACTAGAGCTGGACGAATCCCAAATCGAACCCCCAAGAACCCTAAAAAACCAAAAGTTGAAATCTGTCNTTGACCCTTTAAAAATGATGAGACAAGCCTCACTGAATAAAAATGCAAATTGCGGGGCCCTCAATGAATGGTTGAAATAAAACCTTTAGAATTCGGGACAACCGTTTAGCAAAAGTTCACGGCCTTCCCCGAAATGACAATATGCTAGTCACTTTAGGCACGCCTTTAATAATTTACTTTCTTAAACTCGGGTGCACATTTATGTGGCCCAAATCCAAATCCCAATGGAGTCGAAATGTGTCGATAACCACGGGTACATTGATATGACGTGGTTCGAGATACGTTTTCACAACGTTGCAATTCTCTGTTAAAATAATAATAATAAAAGTGGTACGTAGTTAAAATTTGCACATAGGTTCAACATGTATTAAAATCAGATAAATAAGCCGAATATGACAGTTGAACGACCGTGCTAGAACCACTGAACTTGGGAATGCCTAACACCTTCTCCCGGGTTAACAGAATTCCTTACTCGGATTTCTGGTTCGCGGACTATAATACA